GGTTATCAGCGTTTTCTTGTACATATTATATTTCGTTTGCTCGTTTGTGTTTTCTGCTCGAACATGCTGTTGGAGGCCGGCTGCTCAACAAGCCGTTCCATTTGACCTGTATTCTCGAGAGCCAGAATCGCGCGAATTGGGAAATCAGCTTATTATTAAAGGTAAGCTCTGAAACTTCACAATGTGAAGCTGCCCAAGTAGCACAAAGTAAACTCCAAAAGGGAGGCCATCCGGGGTCCCACGTCGGTTTTGGAGCTCTGGCCCATGTTGCGCTTACTTGGGCAAACCAACTGGGCTGCCTTGGGGGAACCCCAGGGGGTCTCTTTGGGCAGCCCACATGGGCTTCCCTCTTGGACCCTCAGTGGTTCTGCTTCGTGCTTAGTGCCTTATGATGAGTAACACCACTTGATGAGACTCTCATGAGCCGGGCGCACTTGTCCTTCAAAATATCGTTTGGATTTGTTTTCTCTATAATCCGTCGTGACCTCGTCTTCAGGCTGCTTTTGTTTTTCCTGGAGGTACCCTCGCTCCCGGTCTGCTGACTTGAACACGTGCTTGGTCGCTGGCTGATGTCTGATGTTCGAATCAGGTGGTATGCATTTGACGGGAGATATTCTGACCCTATCCTCACAGCATAGCACTTATTTCCTCATCTTGCTTGGAATCACAAAATTTCTGACCAGACGTTTTCTTTTTTTTTCTTGTACGGTAAGGTTTTGTCGTTCTTGAAAATAAGGGCTGATCTCGATAACCACTTGGTCCTGGCTGGTTGGCCATCCATTTTCGGATTACTCTTTCAATTTTGTATAAACTGGATATTCCTCTTGTATCGTTCTCGCCTCGTTCATGTACTCGTGCGGTGCAGACTGACCAGAAAACCACTTGCACGTATGCTTCGTTTTCCTCTTTTATGTTGCCTGGTCGTTTGACAGCGACCTCGACAGCGTGTCAGCTGTTCAGAGATCAATACCAGGCACGTGTGAGATTGTGTAACTAAATCTCATCAGTCGTAGCTTGAACTGCTGCAACTGTGTTCCTAGAACTCCTTCTGGGAACACAGTCTCAACATTTCAAGCTCTCAAAATTTTCACATGCCAAAATCACCGTTTACGTCTCTTTCTCAATCTAAGCGTATTTTGTCTCCATGATGCTCAGTCTTTTCTAGCAGAACGCTACTGGTCAAATGTCTCCCTTCTTCTCCTTTTTCATTAGCACGGCACCTAACCCATATGTTAAACCATCTGCTGAAAAAACATTTTCCTGTTCAAGATCATGCAATGTTAGGGCCGGTGCCTACTGAATGTCCTTCTTTTCCGCTTTCAATGCTGTTTCTTGCATAGTGTCAGATGACCATTCGTTTTTCTTTCTGAGAAGGCCACGCAGAGGCTTAAATTTCTCGGACAGGTGGGAGACGAAACGCCCCGCTTGGTTTGCCATTCTAATGAACTGTCTCACTTCAGTCACTGTCATCGGCGATATGGTGACGATGGCCGTGACCCTCTTTTGGCCAACTTGACACTTCGCTAGCTGATATGCCCCAAGAACATTATTTACTTCTGCTTGAATTCCCATTTGACGTTGAGTCGGACACCTGCTGCTTCCAGCAGCTTCCAACAGCTCCTTAATCCTCTGTTCATGCTTTTCTTTTCTCGTGTCAGTGACCAGGATGTCAGTCATGTCACATAGGACTCCCGAGATTTTTTGTAGGACCTCATTTATCCTTCACTGAAGGTACTCAGGCGCAAAACAAAGAATGAATGGCATTCGTTAAAAGCAAAATCAACCAAGAGGCTTGATGAGGTGGTGAGAGTTTGAGACTCCTGTCCCAACCGGACTTGCCAGAATTCAGACTTCGCATCTAGTGCCAAGTACCACGACGTGCGCGACAGCCGTCTCAGTGCTTCTTTGACAGACAGCAGAAACTAGCTTCTCTCGTTTATTGTTCTGGCTCGGCTGGATTAAACCCACGCAGATGCGTAGTTCTCAGTTTGGTTTGAGCACTATCACTATTGCAGAACACCAAGGTGTAGGCTCTTCAGCTTTTAACGCGATAGCGTTTAGGAGACCGTGTCGCGAAAATCCGGCGGCGGCGTCAGTGGGAACAAAAAATCCCATAACGTAAAGCGTGCTGCCAAGTGTGACGTAGCGTGTGACGTCGCAGGTGACGTCACGTGCGTGTGGTCACACGCGGTTGCGAAGTCATGACCCTTCCTATCGACCCGCTAAATTTGTCGGGAAAATATTCTGCTACATTTGGTTCGAATCCCCCCCCCTGTTTATCCTAACATTTTCTCGCAGAATTTAGGACGTTGAGAGGGTCATGATGTCACAGCCTCATGTAACGTCATGCGCCACGTTACAAGAAAACAGACGTGACACTGCAGACTAGGCCACGCACACACGCTCGCACGGCTTGAAAATGAGTGCGGCTTTATACGAGAAGCCTTTGCGAACAGGAACCGATAACGCTATCGCGTTCCGCTCTTAGAGGCGAAGCTTAAGCATCCCCTAAATTGTTCCTAATAATCCCTTCTTTTTTTGTGCCGCCGACCTGCTCTTCCACTTTCCTCATTAGCTCTAGGGGCACTCGCCGCTATGTGTGGATGGAGACTAGGTTTGCGTCTTTGGCAAGCTTGGTTCTGTATTCTCGAGCCATCTCACCGATGCACCTGAACAACTTGGTATTGCTTGGCCACCTGGTCCGAGACTGTGCACAGGCGTTTATTGAGTATAAAATGGCTGCTTTAATTTCTTTACAGGAGGGGCTCTTCAATGCCTTTCGACCCATAAACCTCCTGTTGTATGGTCTTCTTTTGTTGTACTTTTAAAACACTTTGAGTGGTTGTTCGTTTGCACCAGAGATTTTAGCAGCTGTCTGCCCGAAAGGGTTTCTTCGTTTAGAACAAATTTTGGAGGCATATGGCACTCACGTGTGCACAGTCAATTTTAAACTGCACGGTCTTTCCGATAACTCGCAGTTTGGCTTTACGCGTAATTTTGTCTGCAGTTCAGATGCTTCCAATAATTAAATTTGGCCCTTTATCTGTGTCATTTAGAGTAACCTCTTTTAAGGTGTTCTTACCTTCATTATCGGGCTCCTTGAGGGAAATTTGGTGCCAGTGATATATTTTTCGGCAATTGCCACATGTTGAACCTGCTGCAGGAATCTTTCATAAGCACTGTGTCAGCATCTTCCCAACGTCTGCGATCGAGTCGAGTACTCCCAAGCATTTTAAGGTTCATCTTCCCGCCGCCGTGCGCCTTTCTCATTTTTGGTCGCTCGTTTGTGGAGTGCACCCAGCGTCAAGTTTTTGTTTGGGACTCGCCTCTGGGGTTCGTTTTCTGCCGATGACCGCTTCTTTTTGTCGGTTTAGTGTGTACGCAGCTTTGAGGGTGAAATTCCGGTCACTCTGGAGCTTTTCCGAAAGCGAAAAATCTTGCAATCCGGCGGAGAAACTATCTCGGACAAGTTCTTCCTTCAATGCGCCGAAGATGCAACGCGTTACTAGGCGATGTAGGCTTGTCATGAGCTCTCGACAGGCTCCCCAGGCTCTTGATTTCTCCGGTGGAATGCGACTCGTTCGTAGATGACGTATTGCTTGCCGACAATAATGGCTCTCGAAAGGTTCCGCAACCGCTTCGAACTCTCGAGTTTCGGCGTCGGTCGGAGTAAAGGGGGATAAAATGTCTTCCGCACCGTTGCCGACACCCTACGGAACCGGTTGAAGCAGATGATCCATCTTAAACATTTATCCTGTCGCTTGAAATCGAAGGTTGCCGGCGTCATTAACCCTGTCGCCGGCAACGTAGCTTGCGCCGTTACGACGATTTTTTGGTTCGAAGAGAGTCCCGCTTTTGACGCCATGCGGCATTATTTCGTGATGGCGTTTCGCAATGAGTAACACCACGCGTTACTGACGGTTGCCATGGTGATTGCCATTTTGGACCCTTTCGAAGCTTCGAAAGGGTCATTAAAACAAGTCGAACAAAGATCGCCACGAAGCATCATCGTACTGAATGCGTTGCTCGGCCAATGTGACTTTCATGACCCGGGCGGCGTTGTCCGCTTCTCCATCGACGTGCTGCGCCCCATGGCGACGCTTATTGGAACTTTCGAAACATTATCATTACAGGACACCAGTGGCGTAGCCAGGGTGGAGGCTTATGGGGCTTCAGCGCCCCCCCCCCCCCCCCCCTTCCCGCCCCCAAACCCAGCCGACCGTATTATCACAGAAATTTATTTCGACCCCACCCTCCGCCCCCACAACACGTCATGGATATCCCAGCCACCTCAGCACCCACCGAAATAAATATTGCCTACGTTGTGTGGGCACCTCGTATAGGGCATGTCTACTCTGCGCCCGCGTGGGACCAATGTGGGTTCCGTAGGGGCTACCCCAGCACCCATTGCTGACATGGGCTCCACATGGGCCCCACCACTTGTGCTACCTCGGGGACACACCAGATGAAGCTCAGAACGCACTTGCAATGGAGTGGAAGTATCTACATTTTTTTTCAGGCTCATTAAACGACCATTCACTATTGCAAAAAAGTTAGAGATAAATTTTCTATCTTGCAAACCTTGTGCAAACTAAGTCGTATGGATACATTAAAAATATCACGAGATGTGACCTCCACACGTGATGACATTCCTTTTATATGTATGACATTGAAAATATAGATTCCAATTATTCTGATTCCCAAATTATAGCGATGTGAGCGTTTCCTTTGGCGAAACTTCAATCGAAAATGTTCTTTAGACGGTCGTAAAAGTTGGTACAGGTTCATTTAGAATCATTTGAGCTAACAAATATTTTTCTCATAGCAAGTTTAAAAAGCTTAGAGGGGACAAAGCCCCCATATAATTTGCATATTGGTGTATTTTTTTTGTGGGCATTGTGATATAAGTTTAATTCTTTTTTGGACATCATTTAGACATTACTTTGCAGATATGTAATCTTCACTCTATGTTGCTGTTTTGTTTTCTTATAAAATTTCAGATTGAATGGCTAAAACTGCTCAATAATGAGTTTGCACTTGCCAATATGACACTCAAGGAGAACGAACGCGTGATTGTATTGGAACCTGATTATATCCAGAATATTGAAAAAATTCTGCAAGGAACAAGTATGTAAGTCGGATCATATGGTTAAATTATTATCATGTTTAAATATTACAAAATTACGTGCAAAACAATATGTGTTCCAATTCTCCTTCGGTTTATAATACTTTTTAGGGTGTGCAGCATTTAAAAATATCAGTAGCCTTTATCTTTAAAGTCTTACAATGCATGGAATGCAGTATTTAAGGAGGGATCGCTTAAATTTCTGAAACCAAGTATATACTCCAATAATTGCTTCCTCAAACATAGCTTGAAAATAGTCATCATGGTGTTGATTCGTGGTGTCACCTTGTGCCAAGACGTCACGTGACATTAATTGTCCCACTAAATTTAGCGGGGAAACAGGCCTCGCTTGATCTTAGGTCACAAAACCCGGTCACGTTGCGTGACGTAACGGTGTCACGTGGCCTGATGTCACATGACGCCGGGTCATGTGACAAAACGTTTCCCGCTAACTTTAGTGGGAAATTTGACATCGGAGTTCTAACTTGAAGTCCCGGGATGCTCGATCCACACCTTGGCACATTTCATTTTGTATGAGCATTGTACCGGCGTTGTGGTCGTCTAGCACTGATCTGTGATGCACGTTAAAAAACCCAGGCTTAACCGTAGTACTGCACTCAATTAATTTTTTATGTACAGCGCAAACATCAGTCGCTTATTGGGGTCACCTTTCTGCTGTATAAACAAACGCAACACGATTAAGTGTCATGTAATGCCACACAAGGTGAATTTTCCCTCGCTAAATTTGGCGGGGAAATGTACGAACGAATTAACGTACGGGCGAAGAGACAGATCAACACACTTTTGGAATCAGGGGTTCGGACAAAATGCCTTCCATATTCCAAAAGGGCATGCCTTGATCCAACTCACCTGTACGAATGTAGACTTACCATATGTTTGACAGAGTCGACAGTGCGAGTGGCTGTCACCTGAAGGAAAAAACGGGGAAAGTGCAGGCGAGCTGGTGTAAGTAATACATGATGATTGAAACCTGAGACTGTGGGAAACTCGTGAAGTAGCAAGAAAAAGGACAGACAACGTCTTAAACTCAGCTAAAAACTTCATTGCCTCTATGCCTTATATACCCCCCCCCCCCCCCCCCAACGTCGCCACCACCACAACGGTCGATCATTGAACTACAAACAATACACCAGAATCACAACATGCCGAAACGCAAAAAAATATGTATATAAAAAGAGACGCGTGCCCGCTCGTTTCCATCTTCACCCGTCCACTACAAACAGAAACACAAGGTCGTTACCACCGCGCCCGGAAAGACTTCGACGCGGACAAAGTTACACAAGCACTGGGAACACGGAATGACCGTTTTTAACGTCTGTCCCTTTCCCTTTCCCCTGAACTGAAGCATGCTTTAGTTCAGTTCAGGGTAAAGGGGGGATGGGGCGGTGAAGTTAAAAACGGTCATCGTGTGTTCCCAGTGCTTGTGATAATGATGAAAATAATCCATGGAGAAGTTGAATAAGAGGGACAAAGGACAAACATAAATCTCCAAACACAGCTAGGCTTCCCTCCTCGCTCACCAGTCACCTATCGAACCCGGGACCTCTCCATTACAGGTGGAGCGTTCTACGAACTGAGCAAACCAGGGTTTAGACGTCAGTAGAGCAAACGGGTTTTATCAGCTGCCACCAGTCGTACACCAACAAGGTGAAGCTTGCAATTTATGGTTATAATTATAATTCAATTAAGTGCAAAGGTGCAAGCGAGCTGGACAAGAATGTTGAAAATAATTTCTGGAGAAGGAGAACAAGAGGGACAAAGGACAAAACCACATCTCCAAACACAGCTAAGCGACTGGTACGTGTGTATAAAGCTTGAGGCAATGAAGTTTTTAGCTCAGTTTGAGAAGTTCTCTGTCCCTTTCCTTCCTGCTTCACGAGTTTCCGTATTTAAAACCACGGTCTTAGGTTTCAATCGTCGCATATAACGTGACGGAAAGAGTTTTAAAACCTATAGAACCAGTTTTTTTTATATTTTGTTAGCATTAGTAAACTGGTACATGCTCTGACCTTAGAGTTGTTTGAACTAACCACAGCTCGCAAGGTCGCCACGAAAGGGCGCCTGTGAAGTCACGGTGTTTTCGCCCCTGTATGCACAACACACGCGGCAATGTAAGTCTCAAAGGGACCGACGACGCAGTTTTGTACGATACTGTCGTGTCTCCGCCGTAGTATTAAAGGAGTCATGAAACGATTTTCCAACTTTTTCCTGTTTAGCTTTCCTCCTAAACTCTTAAATCGCGCATTGTACAAAGAGTTTAAGAAAACGGAAATGGAGGAGCCCCCTCTTGCTCAAACTGTCGTTTGTGTACCCGGATACAGTCATTCTCCCCTAGAAGATTAGCCGGTCACTCAAAATTCAGGCAAAAGTCGCTTTCCCCATCCCGTTCATCACGAACCTGACAGTGCTGTGGAAGCTACGTGCTTGCTGGGCCAGCCACACTTTTGACACGTGATCACGCTCTCTCGCGCAAACACACGCGCAGAGAATGAGGTCAGGTGAAGAGCGGGAGGCGAGATCACCCGGCCATTAATCACGTGTTTTTGTATTTACAGTCGTCTGCCATCTTTCATTCGTGAGAATTTAAAATATAATTACTGTGAGCGACAAATACATTTACATAAAATCTGAAGATTGTAGGAAGACTTGCTCTTTCGCTTTTTAATACCAGCCAGTAGACACGCAAAAGAGGCAATCATTATTGGACCTACAGAGGCACCCCTGTGGAGTTCTTGCAGCATGCCCGCGTTAGCAAAATAAATGCGTTTTTGGGAAACACTAACCAGTATAAATGTTACTCAGCGTAACTTTTATATGAATAAAATATTGAACATCATACAACAATATAAAATATAGCAACACGCTCTTTACATTTACATTACATTTACATTACATTTTACATTACGCTCTTTACAGAAAATTAACAACGTGGTGTGAATCTTGGCTAATGACGATTAATCTTGATCAATCTAAAATTATGTCGTTCTCCAGATCAAAAAATAAAGTCACTTACACATACTCTATTTCATCTTGTGAACTAGAACGGGTAGCCACATTTAAATATTTAAGAGTGTTCCTTTCTGCAGACTTATCGTGGAAGTGCCACGTCGACTTTATCTGCTCTAAAGCAAATAGAACATTAGGATTTTAAGACATCTTTATCTCGCAGACCCATATGTGAAACGTTTAGCATACACTACGTTAGTTCAGACGAAACTAGAATACGCGTCCATCATATGGAATCCTCATCAAGTGTATCTCATTAACCAACTCGAAGCTGTCCAAAATCGCGCCACTCGTTTTGTTACTCGGAATTATTCTCGAAAAAGCGTTTCCTGTCTAAAACAGGCCATATCTCTCCATACACTCGACACTCGTAGAAAAAACGAACGGCTCTCTCTTATGCACAAACTATACTACAACCCATGGTCACCTAAAACATTTATTTTCCCGGCTCATCATATTTCCTCTCGCCTAGATCATCCATGTAAAGTCGAACCCATTTTTTCTAGAACTAACGCCTACAAATACTCACCTCTCCCACTATGCATTTCTGAATGGAATAGCATGCCCTCAAGCCTGGTGACGATACGTGACCATAACCATTTTACGCAGGAGCTTGTTAAGTTGTTTGAGTAATCTCTGTATAATGATGTTCTCATTCAATGTTTCCCCCAATTGTTGTGTATTTTTGTAAATTTGACGCACCCCCCTTATGTAATGCTTCACATAGAGGCCCTTAAGGTAATTAAATAAAACGAAATAAAAAAAAAACTCTCGTTGGCCCACAATATGCGTGCACGTCGCGTTAATGCGTTAATTAAAATTAGTGAGCTCATTATTACAGATGGATATATACTGGCGTGCTGCGTAATTGATTAGTGATCGGGCCATGGATTGCAGTTTTGTAATTTTGAAGAACATTCTAAACTTCTCTTTTTTTACAACCTTCACGCGTTTTTACTAGCCGAATAGACATCCCTCAAACGGGTACGGACACGAAATTCCAGTGCTGATTTTCTAGCTCAAATGTGTTGCTTGTTGCAGAATTACCTCAAAAACTGCAGTTTGTTGTTTAATTGAACGATCTTTCAATATGCACCATTATGGATGCATGCGAAGCTAAGTTGGGATGTAATCTGGCACCGTTAAGGGTCAGGCTTACGTACGTAGGTCATGACGTAGCACGTTTCACACTAAGCATCGGAGCAGTGCCGCTCTTTGGAAGTACGCTCAACTGTTTAATGGTACGTATACACCTGAGACGAAATTCGCTGCCGCGGGAGCGCATTCGCTCCAGGCGGCGGCGGCGACGAGCGGGTTGCGTTTACATCTACTTCCTTAGAGTGGCGGCGGCGGCGCCGCCTGCGGCAGCTGTTCTCGTGACATCCCGTCAAATATGAGGAGAAAGCGCGAGATTTTCCGGATTCCGGAAAAAATATCATCGGAAAAAAACGTCCCCGGAAAAAAAATTCCCCGGAAAAAAGTCCCCGGAAAACATGTCCCCCCCCCCCCCCCCCCCCATAAAAAAAAAAGGCTCCAGGTGGAAAGCAGAGAAAAAATGTCCCCCGAGGTTTCTCTATCGCTGGGTTTCCCCTGACTCTCATGGCCTTCGGGCAGTCCTGTCATTGACCGGTCACAAATGGGCTGACCCACCTAGAGGTAGAAAGGGAGACTGGAAGTCAGATAAATCAACCGAAGTTGTCTGTTGTGGGTATTTTGGAAACCAAATTATCGTGTTTGTAAAAACCAACTTACTCAGTTTTTTCCCTATTGTTAAATAAGAATTTAGAACACTTCTAGCCAAAACCAAATTATTGTGTTTGGGGAAATTTGAGAGGTACTTGTGTGCCATTTCCAAATAGGTAAAAAGCGCGACACTGTTAACACAAACAAGCGATCGCTAGTTTTTTTTTTTATTATAGAAACGAAAGGGTTGTTATCACAAATATCCTAGGTACTGAAAGTGCTCATATGGGGATATAATGCAGACGGTAAAATTTTGTTCTCACCAATACTCTTTCTAAGTAAAATGCGAAAATGCGCCGATATCGTGTTCGTGCGAACAGTGTTGCGATGTGTACCTCGGAGAATCGTATATTTCCTTTTTTGAACTCCGTTTTTTCTTACTTGCCACAGGGCGTCTTTTTTAGCAAGGACATATGACCGGACCACCCGAAGGCCATGAAGATCAGGGAAACCCAGGGATAGAGACTGCTTTGAGGACATTATTTCCTTTTTCCCACCTGAGGCCTTTCTTTCTTTTTTTCAAAACATTTTGTTCGTTTTCTTGTTTTTTTTGGGGGGACTTTTTTTTTTTACACCCAGAGTTCCCACCTCGGCTCACTCTCCTGGGCGTTGCTGGTCTTGGAAGAACGCTTACTCGTGACGTAGGCAGCCTCGCGCTAAGCAAAGATGTCACTTCCGGTCAGCGAAACGCTTGGTAGCGGCAAAAATAGGTCCTTGACTTATCCGGCTCGCCGCCGCGTTTTTCGCCCAACGTTTCGCGCCAGTGGCGAAAGCTGGGCGGATTCGCTGGCGGATCCGCAAGTGTAAACGTGCCATAAAGCGGTCATGAAACAATCTTTCAAGTTTTTTTTCTTAGCTTTTCACTTCAACTCACAAATCGCGCAATGTTCCAAGCAGTCCAAGAAGACGGAAAGGAGGGACATCGGACCGCCGTTTGTGTAGCCGGATACCACCATTCTCCTCCTAGAGGATTAGCCCGTCACTCACAACTCAGACAAAAGTTGTTTTCTCTGCCCCGTTCACCCCTAAGCTGACAGTGCAGTAGAAGTTACGTGTTCGTTGGGCCAGCGACGTCATTGCCACGTGATCATGCTACCACGCGCATACCCATCCGCAGATAATTGATATCAGGCGAGGAAAGGGATTCGGCTGATTGGTCCAACAAGTGCGTAGCTTCCACCGCACTGTTGTCTTAGGGGTGAAGGAAATAAGTGAGGTCCGGTCACCGGTGTCGTGTGACGTGCGGTTGGGCCGGTAACGCGCTTTGGTTACAGCGGATGTATCACGGCGAAAAAGAAGAGAGCTTTCGAAGTGAAGGAGGTACAAAATGGCCCGCTGTGTTTGAACATTTTGGTGCCGAAAATCAGGCTTTTGACTTTCTACCTTCTTTCTTTTGGCCCACTAAACGATATGCTATTAGTACAATCCCAGTCTAAATTAATTTATCCCAGCCCAAAATTCGTTTCAGGGGCCCTTTAATTCAGTCGTTAATTTGAATTGGTGTTTAGGTCACGTGACGTCAATTGATATCCCGTGACTTGATGTCACCTGATATATACACGAATTAAGTTTCCCCGTCAATTTCGGCGGGGCAATTGGTGTCCCGGGACATCTGGCATCAAGTGACCTGTATGCGAATTCTGTTTTCCGCCTAAATTTAGCCGGAAAATTTACTTCACGTAGCCTGATGTCATATGACCTAGGTACCAATTCCCTTTCTTCGCTAAATATAAAGGTGAAACTGGTGTCACGTGAGCTGATGTCACGTGATCTTATGTCACGAGGCCTATTCACCAATATAGTTACGCTGCTAAATTTAGCACAAAAAAGACGTCATATTACTCGTCTCGCATCGAAGATTTGACCTCGAATGATATTCTGAATGTGTTTGGGTTGAAATTAAGGCCAGTGATGGCTTCAATTACCTAATAGGTACCTATTACTTCCCGCCCTTTTCAGACCAGACAGTTTTTATCGAGCATTTTGAAGCAATTAGTAAGCAGATTAATTTCGAAAAGTGTCTTGTTCAAATCTACGGCGATTTTAATCTACCGGGCGTTGACTGGTTTGTCTAAACGGTAAAAAGCAACACAAACACATCTACCAAGGTGCATTCTTTGTTATCTTTTATAAACTTCTGTGGTCTTCAGCAACACAATACGATCATGAATAAGGCCGGAAATGTACTAGAGCTTGCTCTTTGTAACATGCCAATTTTAAGTGTACAGCGTGCTGTGAATCACTTGGTTCAAATTGATGATTTTCATCCACCTTTCACTGTCGAGTTTTCCCTCCCGTACAAAGCGAGAGTTCCGTGTAACTCATCAAATTACTGCTTTTCTAAGGGTGACTATTTAAGTCTTTATAGACAGATTGAACATTTTGACAGGGGTTGTGTTCTTTCTATGTCAAATGTTGATCATGCCACCGAAACGCTTACTACAGTTGTAAAAAGTGCTATCGAAAAAGTTATTCCTAAGTGCAAAAAAAAAATTTTGCATGGCATTAAAACGTGGGTAAAACGTTATTTGTTTTTGTTCTGTAGTAAAACCGAAACATTTCCTAAAAATTTCTGGTTTAAAAAAAAAATGTTAAGATATTTTAGCATTTGCTCCGCGCAGCAAGTTTAATGACAACCATCGATAGGTTATAGCCGCCGGAAGAACCAAAATATTCTCTCGAAGCGTTTCTCAGCATAAAAGTAACTGAGGGAGGCGCTCAGCCTTATTTCTCAAGTGAGGTAGTCCCACTGAGCATTGCACGATTGCTGGAAGTGCTGGGTAAGGAGCCACGCCCTCGAAGAATCACGAATATATTTACACTTTATGAGCAATGAAAGGAACACTAACGGGAACTGTACACTTGAGTGCACTTAGCCCTAGAATACCCGCCACACAAGTCAGCGTGGCGCAGGTACTCTCGGCGCTGATGTTGATTTTATCGGAACAGAGGTGTCCCCTTTTCTCCGAGTACACTTGATGAGATCTGTTGCTTTTGAGATCCTGCTCAGTCGTATGTTTTTCGCAATAAGTGCGAACTTCCGCGCTTATTCTACTTTTAACAGAAATAAAAGTTTCCTTATAAATTTCAACTCTAGTTTTTTTCTGCACGTGGGAACGAACAGTTACGAACTGTAACGGATCGTTATTTTTTCGTTCCAAAGCAGATTCGGAACTGCCCTTTTTTATGGAACGAAATTGAAACCAGAACGAGGAACACTTCATTCCGACAACCTTAATAACAGCACATTTGTTCCGTCTAGTTCAATAAGAAAATAATAAAACCTATCAACTCTACTCATAGCAGTGAGTTCTAGACTGCTCGTCAATCATGTAGTGATTGCGTCTACTTACTAAAGACCTTTTATCACCCTCTGCTAAATTCGCTACACAACCGATTTGCATTGATCCTTTTCGATAAGGTTCTTACATTGGTACTTGTGCGATTTTTAAGGAACAGTACTTGGCGCATCACTGGCTGTTCTTCATCGATTCTGAGGTCGACCATACCCCCTATATTTCAGCTTTTCCTGCTGGAGTACTTCAGCCGCCATTTTTCCAAGACGGTGTGCCTTCGTAAGTGGCTTTACGAATTTCATTGGGTCTGTTCTCAAAGTGGCTTCCTATGATACGAAAACGTCTTAATCGCTGCACCTGCCATGTTGTAAACGTAATTTATAACCAAAATGTCAGCTGTTCGGGATTCATCAAACAAATATTGAGGTTGCCATGTTTAAGGGAGTCGCCATTTTTGTTTTGTCTTTGTTTTCCTCACGATTCGATTTCATCACGGGCTTGACAGATGAATGAGCAACTAAGACGCAGAAAACCGCACACAATAACAGAAATCTACAGTAACTAAAAATACACATATATAAGCAATACGAGGGTATATTGTAAGTTTCCGGCATTAATATAAAAATAAAATTATTCTGACTTAGTTTATATTTTATTTCCCATCATATTTTCCATGAAACTCAACACCCTTGGTACAATGTTTCGCGAGCTCCTCTATTATCTTTCAAATGTGACTTCCTTTGAGGGCCCAAAATTAACCAGTGATTATCTCGATGAACGCTTTATTGGTCCGGAATTTCTTTTCAGCCAGGAACGTTATGAGTCTCGCAAACAGGTGGAAGCACGACGAAGTCAGGTCAAGCGAATATATTGGATGAGGAAGAATTTATAATTTCAGTTTTTTGAAACCTTGCTGATCCTGAGAAATGCTGAACCGAACTAATCTGCTTCGAATTGAGAAGATGCGACACACACATTGCATAAAGAATATTTTTGTCCCGTTATGTGCAGTATGAGCTACTTGTTATAAATGCTCCCCCATGGCTTCCATACTTTCACTCATTTTTATTCGACGGCTTCCGAAACAATGCTATTTATTTTATTTACAACTTGTGGTGTGTTATCCGTTTTTGGACGTCAGGAACAAGTCAAACATATTTTCTTTCATTTGACCAAACTGGCTACTTTACACAGATTAATATTCACTATTTTTATTGAATAATATAATATAATTTATATATATAATTTAATATAATTAATATTAAAGACCTTTAATTCAAAGGTCTTTAACAGAATCTGTCATTCCTGCTGAGTGGAAATATGCAAAAGTAATTCCCGTTCATAAAACTGGCTCCCTGCTACTTCCGGTAAACTATAGGCCCATTTCATTACTTCCTTACTGTTCGAATCTGCTAGAACATATTGTTTTTAAACACCTCGCGAGTTACTTAGAAAAAAATTCTTTTTTTCTTTTCAAATCAACATGGTTTCCGTCATGGCCTTTCTACTACGACTCAGTTACTTGAAACAGTCCATGATTTCGCAAATATCCTGAATCGATCCAAACAAATTGACGTCATATTCCTAAATATTTCTAAAGCTTTTGATAGAGTATCACATAGTAAACTTCTCCTTAAACTTAAATCAATTGTTCAAAACGAAGGTATCTTTCGCTGGCTCCAGAACTACTTACAGGACAGAAAGCAGTAAGTACAGATCAACTCGAGTGAATCATCATTAGTCCCTGTTTTATCGGGTGTTCCGCAAGGGTCGGTCCTGGGGCCATTACTGTTCTCAATTTTTATAAACGATTTAACCGCTAATATTCCAGTACGTGTTCGACTGTTTGCAGACGATGTTGTTTTATTTACAGAAGTCAATGAAATAAGTGATCAGATTCTACTAAACACCTGCTTGTCCAAGATGGCGCACTGGTGCGACTCGTGGCAGATGTCATTGAATGTCAAGAAGTGTGTTCGAATGCATATAACTCTTAAATTAAGTCATCTTTCTTTCGATTATTCTATTAATAGTACTTCACTAGCCGAAGTTACTTCTTATAAATACTTGGGTGTTATTATATCGAATGACCTACGCTGGAACACTCATATCATGTCTACTGCGCGCAAAGCACTATCCAAATTATGGTACTTAAGACGAAATTTAAAACATGCCTCTTCCGACGTTAAATTGACAGCCTATAAAACTTTCATATTACCCATCCTAGAATACGCTTCGGTGGTTTGGGATCCGTTTACAAGTACCAACATAAACGTCCTCGAAAATGTTCAAAGAAAAAGTTTACGCTTTATTCATAATAAATTCCAGCGAAAATATCCCGTCTCTGAACTGTACGCCCTTTCTGGGGTGAACTTACTAAAGCATAGACGCATGTTTATGAGATTAAAGTTTCTATTTGATTTATTAAACAACCGGTTCAAAATCGATATCTCTAAATATATTTCACCCGCACCTCAAGATTATCCCATGCGAAGTTATCATTGCAAATCGCTCAAAGAATTCAACTGTCGGATTAATGCATTTAAGTACTCTTTTTTCCCAAGGACTGTTCACGACTGGAACTCCCTGCCAGGCGATATAGTAACAGCATCACCAGAGTCCTCCTTTTTTAATAAACTCCGAGATTTTTGTGATTCTTGTATCTGATGCTCATTTATTATTATTATTTTTTTTTTTGCGATGAATAGTCTTTGTATAACGCTGTTTGTGTTTTTGGATCAGCTAGAACGAATATCCTTGTGCTTGTTACCTGCTGTTTTTTTTATTATTGTTTTTGTGTACACACATGTTGTAAACCACTCCTACCACGTCTCCTGAAATAAGAGACAGTAGTATTAATAAATAAATAAATAAATATGATAACTTTATCAATACTAATTTGCCCACAAACATTTCAATACAAAAGCTGTAAAGCGCGTTGAGAGTCATCTCAATTTAATGTTTCCATCAAGTTAAAGCCTCGTATATTAATACTAAAGAAAGCGCGCGAGATATAAAAAAAATGACCGTGATTGAGGGCACTAATATAGCAGTTCTTTGGTGGGTAGTCACGTGAGGCGCTTTTAAAACTTGCGCGAGATTTGTTGTTATCTTTCTTTAAAGGTGGCAAATATTAGATACACAGAGTACCTTTCTGGAAATAACACGCCCTACAATATTGGTTTTGAAAGGGTGGCACACAAATCAAATATTTATAAATATAGCTAATTAATTAGTACCAAGTAGCCACTTTGCAGCGTAACAAAACGTGTATTGACCTGCTCAATGGAACTGTGAACAAGACTACATTTGTTGCATATATGACACAGCTTTGCTAAAGTATTCGGAAAAGTTATCTCAAACACTGTCCTACACCCGTAGGAGCAAACCATTTTCTTAAGAATAATTCACATAAATAACGTGTCCCGGATAGTCCCTTCATAAAAAGCAAATTTGTTTTGTACACCATTTTTCAAGACAGATTAACGATATTACGGCTACATTACGACATCAAAACCAAAATAAATATACCTGATGCATTTGCAGCGTACCGCATCTTCTATTCTTGTGACCATAGCATTAACTTGGCAAAACCTAAATTATACGAAGTGGTACCTTCTCAATGCCTCTTTGAGGGAACAGGGGCAGCGTCTTCGAAAGCAATCGTGTGAAAAGTCTTCCCCGCACGCTTTGTTCCAGCATGAGCATACACACCCTACTTTGAGATACCTATGCCCGTGAAGGCTCTTTGGGAAGTTCTTAAAGCAATATGGTTAAAATAAACAAAGATATTTACTTCTCAAATCACATATTATAACTCTTCAGGGATTCCACTTTCGAAAACAAAGCTTACGCGTGCTTCAAGATTTGCATCGAATGTTTTCTCTTCTTCAGATCACTCAACATGGGAGCTATTGGAATGATGATAGGACATGAAATCACTCATGGTTTTGACGACGGCGGGAAGTATTCAGTAGAGTTTTATATAAAGTTCTACATAGTATAGTTCAGTTTATATTTTTTTATCTTTCATGGTGCAATTTATGAAGATCATTCTAAAACGTTTCTTAAAGAACCTCAGATAGGTATCAACGCTTCTCAAGTACGGTTTACATCAACCAAAAAAAAATAAAAAATACCCTCACAAGCCTCGGTAAAAAAAAAAAAAAAAAGAAAGCGAAGGAGATGAATACCATATGTTACAAATATTCCTATCATTTTAATATTCGGAACATAATTCTGGCCGGCATACCAGACATGATAAATATCGCATTCAAGAGAAAAGAAAAGAAACACAGCAATTATAACAACAATTATAACACGCTGCAGAAAAGCCAGTCGCCCATACCCTGAAGGCCCGCGGCGTTGCGTCCAATGATGATCAGATGGTTTTGCAATTCCAGCTTGCGGCCGAGCTTGTAACACTGCAGCGTGACCACCCTGTCGATCGAAGGCATGATGTGTGCCACTGGTCCGGCTGGCACTCCGACGATGTTAAAAAAACACGACCTACTCGTACGCCCAGCTCGCTTTCTCTTCTTCCGATCTTGCACTCTGAGATATCATCCAGTGAAACAGCGCAAATACCGGAGCAGCGAATACAAATTACGAATCAACGGAGATCGACTTACGTTTTTCTATCCTAATTATGAGAACAATGAAGATGCCAGCGTCACGCCGAGCGCTCACACTTGACAGCGTACTTTGAGGTGATTCTGCTCCCGTTTCCGGTTTTGTTCTAAGCACCGAATGAGATCTAGAGAACTGACCCGCTTTTTTCGCTGGGCAGCCGAGCGTTTGGAGGGGCTGGAGCAGAGCGCGCAAAAAATCACGGTGGCCATGACTGTGCTAGCTTACTTCGATGTGCTGCCGACAGATGGCATAACGCGACAAACCTCAGAATGCGGCGCCGGCTCCGCGGTGCCTTGACCGACCATTTTCCAACAACGGTGGGCCACTACGGCACTGACAAACGCAATGTGCACGGTGCTCTGGGGAAGAAATATGTAATGCCAAAGCAAGCATGTAAAAACACTAGAGAATTGTGCATTATAGAGAACCGCCTCGGGCTAAAAGACGCGTAATAAAATAAACTACCAAGACACTCATGACTGCTAACGTGTCGAAATACTAAACCATATATATACGTCGCATATTCCTACAACATACGCTGTGCGCTGGGCACGGCCGTGCAGCCTGTCCAGAGTGTGCCCGGGCGGGCTCTGCTGGCTCTGCGGCCGGTCGCACCCTCTTACCGGCGGCCGGCAGTGCGTAATAGAGAGGGCTTCTCTTTCGGGTGGCGTTCCTTGGAACTGTGCCGCTTGCCAGCTAATGGGGTGGCTACTACGCAGTACAGGCTTCGCTCTATGGGACAGCTGAATTTATGTGTCGCATGGCGCGGCTTCTAAAGCTGATAATGCCGGTTCGCTCCGTGGAACAGTAAATGCTTTCGCATTAAAACTTGATAAAACGACGCCTTGCCGCTCATGCAGCAGTATAAAGCGTATAGGAATTTATAGGTTTTATAAAACCGAGGAATCCCTAAACGCTATATACTACTTGCCTGGTTCATATAACCCGAAGACGACGTATACGTCGTTTTCAGGTATATGGACCAGGCAAGTCGATTAGGTAGACCTGAGCATACGGCCACAATACATACGGCAGATTTGTCACGTCTTTCAGGAACAAGTGCTCCTTTTTTTAACCCAAGGAACCAGAAAGGCATGTAAACCCCGTATGAGTAAATTTCGGAAAGTACCGCAGCTAGTCCTCGGCAATCAGATTTTTAAAGCATGCGCTACTGACTGGGGGTCTTCAAAGACAAGCAGAAACAAACGCCAACCGGAAGCAACGTTCATCCCCCCCCCCCCCCCCCCAAAAAAAAAAAAAAAAAAAAAAAAAGTTCGGCGATTATATGTTTTTGTTTACCTCCGCACATTCTTTATAAAAACAAAGCAACTCCTGAATAGACGCGGATGCGTAAGCAGTCTGAAGCTAGCAACAGCCGACGCCATTTTCGGAGTGCCATCTGCTATAATACGTAGAAGCACCAACTTCAGCGCGAGCTCACTGGCTGCCGCAGATCTTTGGTTGATCGTGCCTGCTGGTTCAAACTTTTGTTAGCAAAGGAAGAAAGGTCGCGCGAAAGGTAAGCTTCTAATCCCAGCTTTAGGGTAAACGAAGTATAATGCCAACGCAGCTGCGCTATGTTTGTGCTCTGTTCTAGTCTTTTAGAGAGGCCAGGGTGTAGACAAAGTAAAAAAAACATAGGTATACACCCCCCCTCCCCCCTCAACGTCATCACTAGTGGACCCAAGCAGTGACGCCTAGTATGCGCCAGAATCGCCGCCCATACCTCTTGCAGTGATTCACAGCGAATGCGATGATAGCACACGGCGATGCCAAAACAGACGTGTCTGCCTCCTTGCAGCTATACTCTCGTCAACCTTCGGCTTGTTTCCCGCTTAAGATGAGCCGGAGATCAACTAGCGATGACGTCATGTGCAGGCCTTGTTTTCCAGGAGGTGCAGGCGAACCTCGCTTCACTTCGCTCCGTTCGACGAAAATTAATTTTGATTTCAGTTCCGAGCTTGGCCCAAGACTCGAGGGAACCGCCAAGGATTGAGCAGGCACCGCTTCTCGCTCTCAGGTTCGCTGCAAGCACCGGCGCGTCTGGTTTTGGCTAGCATATCCGCGTTAACTTTAGCAGACTGTGTTCGAAAACTTGCGTCTGCTGTTGCTTGTTTCATAAACTGCGTTCGTGTATGCGTCTATTCAGGAGACTTTTCGTCGTCCTAGTGGCGGTTAGCAAATCAGACGGACTTTATTGTGCGCAAGAAATTAAACTGCGGCTAGCCGAGATCAGGCACATGTTTGGAATCTTTTGCCACTCATTTTTAATGGGAGAAACGCTAAATAGAAAATTTCAAAATTATGACAATCCAGATGTCTACATTTTTCCAGCACCTAATATCTTAACGAGCTATACAAGAGAAACATGTTTATAAATCGTCATTCAATCTAAGCTTTTTGTTTTACGGCAACGCGGGCTAAGCTGTACATAAGATAATAATGCTTACGTTTTTGCCCTGTACATTTCTGCCGCCAGGAAGTCAATTTGATGCTGATGGACAGCTGCGGAACTGGTGGACCGAGAGCGCAAAGAAAAATTTCTTAGAAAGAGCTCAATGCTTTATTGAACAGTACAGCAACGTTACCGTAAAGGAAGTGACCTTGACGGTAAGTGACATTCTTAACATACGTGATCGTTGGATAAAATGATCGTGAATCTTCCTTCAACAACCGAAATAGCACATAGCACCTGGTTAAAGTCGGGGCGGTCCCGGTCTGTCGACATGATCTCACCGGACCGGGGCCGCAACTCCTCACGAGACGAAAATGGCCTGTCCTATTAAGGACCCGCGGCGGGTGATACTTGCGCAACGGCCCCCGGCCGTACAGCGCGAAACACATGTACGACGAAACCTTCCGATCCGACATGCGGACTGCCGGAATGACCTTGGGGGGAGAGAATTTTCGTAGCATCGGAGAGCGTTGAAAACCCTCACCTCGGACCGTCGTATTGCGTGGTCGGACGTCGGATCGGACGGTTTCGTCGTACATGTGTTTCGCGCTTACGGCACAACAGCCGTCCGTTGCTATGTGTGATAACGCAGCATCCTCCTCGAGGAGCTGCCGATCCGGTGCGAGCGGCGATGCCATGTCGGTATCGCCTACCGTTTTCAGATACGCGAAGGGGGGAGGGGAGGAGGGGTTTAGGGGAAGAAGCCTTGACAAAAGGATGCTAGCAGCGAAGTAGGCGCGTAGCAATGAGAGAGTTTAAGTATAATTCCAGGGCACTGTATCACGCAGAATTAAAGTTGTCGAAAAACTTTTTGTCGAACAGTATTCACACTTGTTTAGTTGCCAGGACCCCGAGGGTCCTGGCAACTAAACAAGATGATTTTTTTATTACTGCTGGCGAAGGTAGATAAGCAAGCAAAAGGCCGTCAGACGCGTCCATAACCCTGTCTGATATAATGACGGCGATAGACGACTTGAAGCCAGCGAATCCGCTGGGACCAGATGGGTTGACGGCAGTCTTGTACGCGTTACTGAAAAAAGTAACGGTTTACAATTCCCACTACTATATTGAAAACTATAACTGCATAAAGTAATGAATTTCTGCATCACAACTGTTATTGAAAGATTACCAAAGAAGGAAATGATTACTTTCACGTTACTTTTTTTTTACTTTTTAGTACGAAACAAAGATGCATACATAGGTTCAAGGCGGTTACATTTTGTTTTGCTTTTCTCGTTCACACCTAGTTAAGCTTCAACAGCAGTTGTCGTCCAAGTTCTCGTCACTCCTCTTCCTATGTTTCCTGGCGAAGATATCTGCCGTGACTTTAAAGACCCTCTCGACGGATTCGCTTGAGGGAAGAGCGACGTTGTAGAGCAGGAACACTTTGCGTACCACTTCGTGGCTGCGCAACACTTCGAATGACGCTTTCTAGTATAGATGAGGTCAGTGCAGAAGAGTCGTGTTTGCCTCGGCCCAACTCGGATAGAAACATACCGTACACAGCAAATGAGGCACTCTCAACAGCTCGACGGTGAAAACGTCGCTGAGCACGTTGACATTCTAATCCTTCATATATCTCTGTTGCTGTTGTTTTTATTTTGTTGTTTAGTTGCCAAAAAGTGTCCAACGTTGGTGCATCATAGACGACTGTCCCACGTGGAAAGAGAGAGCGAGTTTTAACGTAAAAAAAAAACTCAACTCAATAATTTGAGCTCTTTCGGAAATATATATTTGATTACTTGTAATTTATTACAAACTATAGTCATGGAACTCAAGCGCACGTTGCCGCATAAAAAAGTAACTAAAGCGTTAAAATATTACGACAGAATGTAACTGCTTACAAGAAATAAGTTATTTGTAGCTCGTTATGTAGAAGTCTGGTTGGCTCCTTTTTTATCAAACGTTTAAGCGTGACCTTTCACTTATATTGCCAGATGTATTTGAAAAGGCATATTAAGAACGGGAATTTTGACCGTTGCCGTGCTTGCGTGCGCTATCAGTCCTGATTCGAAATGCGCCGACCGCGTCAACCTGCGAAGCGTAAATTCTTATTGCCCAATTAGCCTTAGAAATATTGACTATAAAGTATCAATGAAAGTCCTCGCTAGATGGCTCCGACGTGTTATAACAAGTGTTGAGAGCCCGCACCAGACGTTTGTCATTCAGAGGCGAAGTATTTTAACCAACGCCCACGTCGCGTGCATTCTTCTAGTGTGTCACGATGCTGTTGAAGAGCAGAAGGTAGCTACGATACAAATAGATTAAAAAAAAAAAAAAAAAACTTCGACCGGATGTTTTACGAAGTTCTCTTTACTATTCAGGAACATACAGGTAGGTCTGTTATCTAAGATTGCGTCCAAATGGCGTACTGCTATCGTAAGACATGTATTGTAGTTAATAAACACTTAAGTGAACATATCCCCGTCCGATCTTTGGTCAAGTAGGGATGCCGTTTCACAGCCGCTACTGTTCGCACACTATATCGTACTCTTTTGTTTACGTTTTCTTAATGAGTCATGCAGAGCTTTAATAAACGTGCAGGACCTAAAGGGTGATGTATAGCAAACCCCTCAAATCCTTTTTTTAATGTTAGGACCAACAGCCACCCAAATTATTTCTAGACAGCTAATCGCATTTACACAAAATGATCCTACATGATTTGGTACAGCAATTCAATTCAATTCAATTCAAGCTTTATTTTCCAGATATACACTGGAGGGACCTCCAGACAAAAAGCTGCTATGTGAGCAGCTTGACGGGGTCCCACTCCTATACTGAGTGTAGTTTCTGTAGATATTATACTTCCTTAGTCGATCAAATAATTCACAGTCACGTGCCTTCGCAGTAAAACAACTTTCTGTCAAAACAATAATGTCAACTTTAATATATTCAAAATTGAAAAAAAACCTTGCTTTTTTAACAATGCTTTTGATAATAGTGAAAGCACACATCCGTTTGAGATGGGAAAAACACAAGCAATACCTCTCGTGGCCCGTTATTTCGATCCCAAAGCCTGAGATGGGTTACTAAAAGGAGGGTAAATCTGCGCGTCTGCAGCTACTGCTGCTGCGGTGGGACCATTATCAAGAACGTTATCGAACACCGGATCGTAAATGAGGCATTTGTTGTTAACATACATTATATTGCTTCAAAACGTAAAAGCAGCATTTCATAGTTTCGCAAATTCTATCAGCTTCTTAGGCCCGCGACGGGTACTAAGCGAAAAATCTTGATTCGATCATGCTGACACGAGTAGATTTTAGCGATGATCTGGGGAGTAAAATTTTGCCTTTCAGTTATGATGATGTAAACTTTACGACAACAGGTCGACAATTACTCTGACCGTAATTACAGATTGTGTGCGCCCGTGTAATCGCTTCATCCTCTACTTGGACTTTTAGTGACCACCTAAATAAGTTTAATACCGTTTCGTCTGTTTGTGCACGGGTTTCAGATAATATATCAGCAATCCTGCAAAAAACTGAACTATCGCGAGGAGAACGACCTTTTTTTCTTCCAGACGTGTACGAAAATACTAGTCAACTTTTTGAAGAACTTTAATGGAACTTCGTGTCACGCATACTTCTTCATTAAGCAGCGTCAAGGCAGAATTTCTATTTTGGACCTCAGCCAATCTATTTTTAATATTGATTATGGCGGTTTTTATTGACTGTTGGCTTTGTTTGACCTAATGAAGTGACGTCACCATTCCCAACTGAGTTTTGGCGTTTAAAAGAGTGTTCACGCATTACTTCCAGCTTATCGTGAATCTAATTAAATTATTCAAGTTTAGCTTCACATATCGGACCTGGGTGCGACTCAATGAAACCCGAAAACATATGAAGGAGGCCCACCACATCAACCGATTCGCACGTAGTTTTACCAAACACTTGTGAGCACTTAAACATCAGTAAGCACAAATTGCTTATTTTTCCGCGTTTAACAAAGGATTTGAACCAACCTGAACGAACGAGAAGACGCAATGAGTGGTCTGCATGGTCTGGCAGATCCCGTGCTCACTCAAGGCTGGAGAGCGATGATAGCCGTATATAAGGGCGTCCGCAGAAGGCGCCGTCGAAGCCGCTGATGTTGGCGTTGATGGCAGTCCAGTTGCTTCGAGGGAATGTTTCAACAGTAGTTTACCAGGCAGATAAGTCCTGTCACCTCGGTGACACGACTTATCTAACTTGGTGACAGTAGAGGCCTGTGGACACACATTTAAGAAACCAGATTAAGAAAATAGCTTACGCAAAATAAATCCATGAGGTGAACAAATTGTGTTTTTTTTTTTTCTGATACCTCCCATGTTTTCAGCGCATGACAAAATTTCTGTATTTCAAGTCCAAATGTCGCAAAAAGCCTATTTTAGTGGTACGTAAACTATGAGCAAAACTGATTTTTTTTTCTCTCTGTCCTGAGATTACATTTCAATGCGCATGGTGACATCGCCGCTCAGTTTGTCTGTTTCATTACAAAAACGCTTCGACTGGTTCAGCTCTTAAAAAATATGCCCATGTTCCCGAGAATAACATGGATAATTAACGTTCTTATAATAAATGTTCTGAAAAAAAAAATGCTGGATACGTTTAGGTGGTTTGTGTGCTAATAGTATTGTCCGGTAAAATCTGGTAAAATTTGGCAAGATTGGGGTGCTCTCAATTTTTACCCGTAACTCTACAACGTAGTGAAGCACATGTTTGATACAGTCTAGTTCATTAGCAATGCGAACATACATCACCATACTCAATCTCTGAGAGTCTTGAGATACATACAGAGACAAGGAGTGCCTTTATTAAAATAGAAGATTCGGAAAGTTTGAAAATATAATAAGCATCAGAATAATAAATGACTGAATCAATGTCCCATTTCTTAATGACTCCCCCTGTCACTCAGGCATTTTTTCTTTCAATTTACATACCGTTCAATATAGCATGACAAAGTGAGCCAGTCAAAATTCGGGTAAATTGTTGAGTACTTATGTGAAATTAGATGTTCAATACTCGCACATTCTATTTAAATTGATTAGATAGAAGCTATGAGTACATATGCATCCTGCTTCTGAAGCTATGAGCGATTTTTTATATGATTCTACGCTCTTTCGAATGATGTTACAGGTATTTTTTTTTGTTTCAGTTGAACGGAAGAAATACTCAGGGTGAAAATATTGCCGACAATTCTGGCCTAAAAGCAGCGTATCTGGTGAGAAAGTTAGAGGAGTTAAATAAAGCATCGGTGTGCAGTCAATTGATTCAGCTTAAAATAATATGTTGATCTTTTTTGTCCTTTTAATTTAAGGCATTTAAAAAGTTCAATGACACCGACCAAGTGCTTCCTGGGTTAATCTTAACAGGAGATCAGCTCTTCTTCGTTTCAAATACCATGGTAAGTTTTGTTTTCATATTGTTCAAAATTCGTTAAATAATATTTAACAACTGTCGATAATATTCATCTCACCGGCAGGAGTTTAGTGCAAGATCTATTTTCACATTTTGAAAACTGAAACCTAGCGCTTGGAGGAACGTGACGGTGAATGTGAATGTGTACCCCATGACCCCATGCCATTCCAGTTAAGCCGAAAAATAAACTATACATGTTCTAACGCAAGAGAAACCTCTCATGCTTTCATATAAAGGCCAGAAATTCCTACACACTTCGTTTCCTTGCATAATTCAGCCTACTTTTTTTTGTTTGCTTCACTTTCAGATGTTTTTACAAACTGAATGCGGGTCCGAGTTCATCGTCAGGTTGCACTTGAACAGTTTTTTATCCCAGTTCCCTTTTGCCATGTGTCTTTTGACCGTGTGAAAACAAATAACAAAACGGATTTGATTTGATATTTTTTGTTTCTTGGCAAAGCGCAATACACTAAGAGAAGATCTAAATTATGTAACAACTAGATTCCGCAATACTCTTCACAATTTGAGAAAACGTTGAGCATACATTGAGCGTGATTTTCGTTTAATGGTCCGTTAAACTCTGCCCAGGTTATTTACCCAGTTTGACCACTATCGCGTACAAAGTATATTTATTTGAATGCAGTATTAGTTAACTCGACATATAAATCAAGCATTACTTTTTATTATACCTTTTTTATGCAAACGCGAACCTAGTTTTGTTTTTAGGGAACTATTTTCTGCAGATCTATTAAAACACGTTTCAACATTGTGGTCGGTTTGCCTTGCTGCATACCCGATCCGGAGGAATAGTACGGAGCACACGGTTTCAACAAACAAGAAACTACATTTAATGGGACAAGGACGGTTACAATACTAACATAGTAATGACCTCTCGGCGGTCATAGCTATGCACATAGTTATGACCTCTCGAGCGGAACGAGGCGCGCGTGGCCAGGGCCGCTTGCCGCCACCTTGCGGCCGAATGATGGCCGCGGTATTCGGGTACCGGGCAACCGTGTCGATCGGGTCCCCACAAACAGTCGGGCACGTCAATGGCAATGTCTTCGACTTCAAGGGGTGGGGCTCTCTGGCGTAGGAGGTCCGGCCGGCGGCGTTGGATCAGCGCGATGGCCCGCTCCAGGTCGCGCTTTTCCGACCTGTTGATCCGGGCGATCCGATCGGCGTCTGCCCTTTTTTCATGTAACTGGCCGCGGATGTGGGCTGCTCTGGATATCTTCGGTACCCCACAGAGTGGGCAGTGGAGGCGCAGCTCCTCGGTGTATTGCGCAGCCGGCTTGGTGGGGTGGCGGTCCTCGAGGGTCCGACCGCGGAACGGCTCCGGGGTGATGACTGGACGGCAGCAGTTCTGGAGGGCGGTGCTGCTTTCTCCAGCGCAGATCTGATGCCCGGCAAAGCGAAATGTCCCCCGCCAGGACCGTCCATGTGGCCACGTTCCGCTGCGGGCCTCGTCGGCAGTGGTCGCACAAGCCGAGTCCGCCGACCTGTCCTGCTGTGGGTCGGCGTGGCCTGCCATGTCTGATGCGTGGCCATGGTCCGTTGTCGGCCTCGACGACGCGAACCTCCGCGAGCCCAAGCTCCCTGCCCTTCCGACGGTGGGGTGCGGTGCCGGTTGTTGTCTAGAGCCATCTTCGTGAAACAAGAGAGGGCAAGGCAGGTGCTTAGTTTTAGCTAAGCCTTGCTTCTACACCCATGCCAAAAAGTTCAAAATACCGGATCTGAGGTGGGCGCACAATCTTTTCCTCTCTCTATTGAGAAGGTGCAGGTCTGTGGAAGTAGAAAGCTATCCCAAAAATGCGAGAGAGGCGCAGCCAAGGAGACAAAAAAAAAGGGGTTCCTTTCTGTTTGGTGCCACCGACGTCGCAGGTTATTCCAGCCGCCTTGATGGGGACAAGGGCGTTTCCGGAACGGGACTGCCACCAGTGTTGTTCCGGTCCTGCAAGGAATCTTCATCTTCTGCTTGAAAAACTCGTTTAAGATCGTGACATGAACAGCTCTGGTTTCTTCACTAGACTCACAGTGAACTAGGCCAGACTCTGTAGAAAGGGGACTGTTAAAAGCAGGAACGCGAGCTCCTTGCCGAAATTAGATTGGGCAGGAGTAAGACCCGTTGACCGACTAGTGGTCGTATGGATTGCGAATGTCATCTCCAGCAGTTTCGCGTCCCAGTCCTCGTGGCGCTCGGTGTAGGCCACTAACATCATCTTAAGGTTCCGATTTACCCTTTCCGTGATATTTGCTTGCGAGTGGCATGGGGAAGTTCTTTAGTGCTTAATTCCCAGCACCGCGCATGCGTCCACGAATACCTCTATTCTTAGATAGGATGCATTATCGCTTACAAGCTGTGCAGGGAAGCCAAACCTAGCGAATATTTCGAGTAGACACTCCCAGCTTTTTGCGAATCGAGCTACCGCAAAGGAAATAAGTCAACCCACTTCGTGAAGTTGTCGGTTGCCACGAACAAGCACTGATTGCCGCGGGGACTACGTGGGAAGGGGCCCATGACATCACAGCGACAAATCTGCCAAGGGCTCTGGCTCACGATTGGTTGATTGAGACCGGAGGCTGACCACCACGTCTGGCACTTCTGGCACACCGAACAGCTACACCACGTCTGACACTTCTGGCACACCGAACAGCTACAAGCGTTTCGGAGCACATCCTGCCTCATGCCTGGCGAGGTAGCAGTTTGGGACAACTTTCCGTAGGTTTTGCTCCCACTGCAGTGTCCTGCCTAGGCAGAGTCAGGCATGTATCTGATAACAAGCTTACGTAACTTGCCGGGTATCACGGTCCGGAACGCCAAGCCAGAGGGATCGTCGTCGGCCTGGGGGATGTAGGGCAGCACGAGACCGTCCTTGGCTCATCAAGTAGGCGTCGAACTTGTCACTTGGCTGGTCGACTAGACCTCTTGCTGCCAGCCGAGCGGACACGCGTTGGCAGAGTCCGTCATCCAGCTGCGCCTTGCGAAGCTCCTCGCGGCTCACCAATGTACCCCACCGTGAATCTGGGGTCCTCGTGCCATGGCCGCGACTGTCACCAAGCCATGGGTATCATGCGAGTGTTCCTCGGGGAGTGGAGCAGGAGATAGCGCACCAGTAACTTTGTTGGTTGACCCCGGCTGATACACGATGGAGTAGTCGTACTGTTGGAGCGTAAGCGCCCAACGAGCAAGACGTCCAGCTGTATTCTTAAGTACCCTTAGCCACGAGAGTGCTAAGTGATCAGATTAAATTTGAAACGTTGCACCATCTAGGTACATATCGAAGCGCTTCAAAGCATGAATAATGGCGAGACATTCACGTTCTGCGACCCTGTAGTTGCGCTCGGCTGGGGTTTACGTGTGGCTCGTGAAAGCAACTGGCCAAAGCACACCACCATACTCCTGCAGCAAGACAGCACCCATTCCAAAGTCGCCTGCTTCTGTCTGTAGAACGAACGGCTTGTTCAAGTCTGGGAGCTGTAAAGAAGCGTTGTCAATCACGGCTTCTGAAAGGGCTGCGAATGCGCATTCTTGTTGCTCGGTCCAACGCCATTTGACGCATTTTTAAGACGGTGATTGAGCGGTTGGGATATCTCGGAATAGTGTGGAATGAAATCCCTGTAGAACGCATAATTCCGTGGTATCTCTGTAGGCACTTTATATCATGTGGGCTTGGGTATTCCGTTAGCGCGCGCAACTTATCTTCGTTCGGGAGGAGCGTGGTGTTATCTACAACGAATCCAAGGAGGTTAATCTTGGGCGCGGCCGACTGAACTTTTCCAGGATGAATAGTAAGCCTAGCATTATACATTCGCTCAAGTACGATGCAAAGATGTTCGACATGCTGCTCAATAGTTTTCAAGAAAACAACCACGTCATCCATGTATGTCATGGCAAATTCGCTCTTCGAGTTCCCAAATACAACATCCATCAGGCGCTGAAACTAGCTGGGGACTTAGACAAGCCAAACGGCAGTCGCGTGAACTCAAACAACCCTCTGTCGCAGATGAAAGCAGTTTTTGGAACGTCTGATGGGTGAATCTCGATCTGAAGAAACCCGCGACTGCAATCCAGCGTTGTAAACACGGTTATGTTACCGAGCGCGTACATCACGTGGGAAATGCTGGAGAAAGGGCAGCTGTCTCGTAGAGACACATCGTTAAGCCGCCTGTAATTCGCACAGAGTCTGGATGTTCAGTCATTTTTCGGAGCGAGGACAACCGGGAACGACCAGTGGCTCTTCGACTCACGTACTGAATCAGTGTCGATCATTTCCTTGAGCCCCGCAACTAGGAGTGCCCTTTTGTGGACGCTAATCGGTCGAGGGTGGCACCTCCGAGGTGGCGCGTCCCCGGTTTCAATGCGGTGCAGCAGGATATCAGTCTTTCCAGGTGTTTCTGTGAACATCGGTGAGAAAGATTGCAGGACAGCTTGCAGCCCCTGCTTCTGCTGGCTCCTTGTGGGGCACTTTCGCAACGATTTTCGAACACCGGCAGGCAAGACGTCCGCATCCATGGTGAAGTGGGCTGCAGTGGGCGGGTTCCGGATGTCATCCTCCCGTCTGGTAAACGGAGTCAGCTCCGCGGTTGTTGTCCCAGCCGCTATCAGCCACCAGAAAAGTTGAGTGTCATGCTTTCGCATGTAATAAATCTCGGCCCAAGATCATGGGTACCACGATTCCTGGCATATAAAGAAATCGTTGACACCGTTTCTTACTATTAAACCGAGTCTGAACCTTACGGCTCCTCCAGCTAGTGTTGCTCTACCAGAAGCTGGCTGCAAACAAGTTTCGCACTCTCGGAGGGTTATCTTTCTTGCTTTGCAAAGTTCGAAAACGAAATCTTTTATAAGCGAGATAGCGGTCCCAGAATTCGAAAGTGCGGCAATGGGAAAATCGAGCAGTGAAATCGTCATGAAAGGTTCAATGATGTTAGGCTCGGGCTGGATTTGACATACCGATGGAATCTGTGCCGCGGCCTCACAGCTCCCAGGGACTGCGACGGTTGTCGACGAGTGGCTGTCTATTTTCAGCATCGCCGGCCCTAGTAGTTTCCCTGGTTGTTCTGGTTCCGGTCCTTTGCCGCCGTCACGTGCCATCTATTGTTTGTAGTGTCAAGAAGTCTTGGACACTGGTTTTGGTGATGGCCGGGCTGCTCACACTCGTAGCAGCAGTCCGACGACAGTTGTCTGCTTAGGCCACCCACACCGAGATGCCCGTCTGACCGCCTCCAGTGGTCGGGTAAAGAACCACTATGGACAGGCCTCCACCAGGCTTGCGACCGGCTGTTTGTTCCGCTTGGGCGAGTGTCAATCCGGTTTGGCTGCGGGATTGCGACCGCACCATGCCAGTTTTCACCAGCACTTGCAGGAGCACACAGATGAAGATGGTTTCCTTGGGTGGTGATCTGATGACGCCATCGGCATTCGCATCGTCATCGTCATCGTCACTGATGACATTACTGATGACGTCACTAGTGACGACGACGTCAACAGTGACGTCCCTGGTGACGTCACTGATGACGTCATCGTCATTATCACGTGACCTCATAGGGGTCACGTGACCCTGCTGACGTCATATGATCCCCGTGAGGTCACGTGACCATCGTGAGGCGACGGTGACGCCGCTCCGTGGGAGAAGTGCCAGACAGAATGAGGACGCGAAGAGGAGGGAGGAGGGATATACCTTCCCCTCGGTGCCCTTCCCTCCTCCTCCTCTAGAGCTACGCTCTAATTCGGTGTTACAGGGAGCTATTAACGGCTTTCATTTTTTTTTTGCTACGTTTTTTGCATGTTTTAGGGCTGGTGCCAGATGATTAGGAAAGAAAGGCTGCGAAGTGACGTACAATACGACCCCCACAGCCCTACCAAGTATCAGTGAGTGAATTTTCGTTTAAGTGAAACGAGGTCCTCGAAGATGATTCTATGTGTCTTTATAACGAGCATTGTAATTGCACCTCATTCTGCGCTGCATTTTGAAAGTTTATTTAATTTTCATTATGGTAAGTTAGAAGGTTTTCATAAACGCGCAGACGAAAAAAACAAGGAATATTGGAAGTCAGAACCTAGTAAAAAATCCGGAGACGAGGGACGCAAAAAAAAGGTTGACAAGAACAACACCATCTCTTGATTGTTCCTCCTTTTTGGCGTTTTCGCATCTCTGTGGTTTTCCAGTGTGTTCGCTCACGAACTTCACCGCTCAATCATCCTAATCTCTAAATGTTGGGATTCAGTTTTGCCTGAACGTCATTGCAGATTCGTTATGCTTCAGACATTGAGGAAGGACACTCATAAATGTTGCATTTTGTAGTGAACAGTTATTCTTATATACGTGTATTAGAAAAAGCACTCCTTGAATTAAGACAACCGGCGTTTCACAAAATCGCATAGCTTTGTTTCTTGGAAAAATTTACACGTTTCAGCCGCTTCCCAACCGATAATCATGTCGATGTGTTTCTCCAGGTTTTGAAACATCTGTTCTTTGAACGTGTAATCTGCATAACGTACTCAAACAAAACTTTTTTAAAGTTAAATTGGGTTTTGTTTTATCTATATATAGCTTAATCTAGAAGGGGTAACTTCGACAGCTTAACAAGGAACTCAATAAATCCTCATTGCTTAGACAGAATGAAATCAGTATCCCAAGGCTTGGTTTTACTTTCCTTTTGTATGGGTCACATACACTACACACACACCTCACAAGGAAAAGTAGGCAGTTTCTTCATAGTTCGAACTTTGTGAAGCTCATAGAACACAATAATTTTGTACTTTATTCATAGAGTAAGCCGCCATGCACACAGGATCTGACCCCTTTAGTAGCGCTTCAGTGGCAAGAATTGATTCTCAACTCTACAAGGGCAATCACTAGAGTTTGTGCCGGAACTATGTGTTTAGATTTATTAAAGCAGCTGAATTAATTATGTGCACTAAATAATTTATATATATATATATATATGTGTGTGTGTGTGTGTGTGTGTATGTGTGTGTGTGTTTATGAAAGGGAGTAAATTTGCGCGGGCGAGATTGTAAACAGCGTCGCTATTGACAATATATATCTAACTTTTCTTTTTCCGTTGCTGTCACTGCAAACACTCTTCACGTAGTCATAATTACCGCAGAAAAGTGTCCCTTAATATATTTAACTCCTATTCACTGCCTCTTAATTAAGAATAATATTTTCGCAATGACGGCACCAACTCATCGATTTTGTCTCGAGCATCAACCGAATCACTAATTAAACGCAAGCTACGGCCGAGCGCCGACGCAGCACTTCTACACTGTTAGCATGTCCCGTGCATTTGGCGAATATTTGGGGTGAAAAACACGCTATTTACACAAATTACCATAAATTTACACGATGAGTAACGGATAATTCGTTCAGAAATCATGCGAGGTTGTAAAAAACGTGTTTTGGCTCGGTCATACACGCATAACCGTGTAGCCGACCTCGATAACACGCATCGCCCCGGCGACGACCGCGGCATTGCCGGCTATCGAAGCACCGGAATGCTTGGGGACACACTTAGAAAGGACCGTCGAGACAAATGCCGCGGAAAGAAACATGTCTCGGAGACAGATATGCACCAAAAGCAATTGCGCCATGTCGCAGGACGTTGGCGAAACCCGCGCTTACCGTGCTCGCCGCCATCTTCTGGTCGATGGCAATGCGGCTTCCCTCATGTCGCCCATGTTTGTATTTAGCTTAGGGGTCCTGATAACAGTTTCTTAGACACCACAAATAAAGTTATGGGTCTAATTATTCACTCCAAACAGTTAAAATGGATATAAAAAGCGTGTCCTCGATGAGAACACGTGACATTGCAGTTGGTTTCGTTTTTGCTTCAACCTTCAACTGCAAGCGATCTGGCCACGGCGCAAGCGCAACGCCGAGGTACGCTGGAAGCAAGCGCCGGTTGGCTTTCGTTGTTTTTGTTTGACCGGAGAAAATCTGGCAAGTACGCATGGCGCCGCTACTGTTTTGGTTTGACGGGACGCGAGAAGCTTCGCATAGAGCTTCGGAGTTTGCGAGCACATAGTGAAGACGTGACCGGAGAAGTGCCCCTGTGATGTTCCTGGAAGACGGAAAGTCGCATTCGTAATCGCCGTGTGTGCTTTGGAAGCGAAGGGAGTCACAGGGTCCACGAGTTCGCAACCACAAACCAAGGCTCACGACAGCGCGGCGCTGACTTCGGCGATCTCGTTCTGTTCGGTGCAACCCGGCGATGCGAAAAAGAGCTGAAACATTCGTCGTGTGTGGTGCGGTGCTTTGTATTCCGGGTCTGTTTGAACCACGCTTTTAACACGGAGCTCAAATTGTTTGTTGCGTGGTGGAGGTTCAACGGGTACAGTCCCGTCGTCGTCAGCCGATCCGGTCCAGCTGGTCCGGGAGGACGCAGCGAGCGGTTTTAAAAGTAAATCTTCGTTCCGTTTCAAACTGTGGAAGTATCCCGACACATACCGTAAGTAAGAAGCAGCGGGCGTTTTCAACAAAATTACGTTGTTTTAATTGAATAATGAACTCCGGATTGTCGTCTTAAATCTGCCGTTTTTTATGCTTCGTGTTGGACTGCGTTTGCATAGCGACGCACACCGCTCGAGTAGATGATTCGGTCCTGCAACGAGTTTGTTGCGCCAATCATGCGGCGTGAATAAATTAGGGCAAGGTTTCCTACCTGCCCACAGATGCATGTACTGAGACCATTTTTTATGTTGTGAACGTAGTGCTCTTTCTTTATCTTTGAAGACGCGTTGGTGCATTTATTATGGTACAATAACTTGAGAGTTGAGAAATTGAAGAGCGAGCAAGCTTTCTCAACTTTGTCTTTTTCTCTCTGGCACTGCCCTGTTTCAGTTTCAGTAGGCATATCTACTAGCAGGTACAAACTGCTCTAAAGCAGGTAAAAAACGGGAAGCTTAGGACGGTGCGGACTCCGTGTTTTGCGCTTTTCGCAAGGTGACAGGGTAAATGCTTTTGTGAGATATGCGGAATATGCAAGCGATTTTGTTATGCCCGTCGTTTGCGTCTCTCCAGCAAAACGAGTAAGATGATCTACTACAAAGGCGCAATCACAAGGCAAGATTTAAGATAGCAGTCGTTTGCTTCGGTGATCCGTGTAGCTGTATTTTACCCTGCTCTCTGCAACACCGTGTCATGACGAAGAGCTGGAATGGTCACGGTTTGTGCTGGCCTCCCGGTTGACAGAAACCCGCGTCGCCCGCATCGGCACCGGGTGCGCTTGGGCTGTTGATGCTCAAGCCTTTCATCCGCGGCTTGTCGCCAGCTCATCCTGCTGCTCAACGGTGAGGAAGCGGCGAGAGTAACCTCGGAAGTGAATGTAAATCCTCGTTCATTCAGTTATCCGGTGTCAAAGTGTGGAAGATGTCCAACGTGTACTGAGGGCGGGAACTACGAGCGTTTTGCCTTGCTTTTATAACCGAAACCAGACCAACGAGATAACTGCCTTGCGTACTCTAAAATGACGGAAGCAATAAGTTTCAACAGGTCGAGTACGTCACCGGGGATGTAGGCGAGACGGTGCACACTGTTTAAACGCTTGGAGTATCCACGAGTGGTACCAGGAAAGCGACGTCAACAGCTCGCGATTCAGCATAATGCACTGCTACGGGCCCGTGTATCTTCAAATTTCGGGGTGGTGGCAGTGTAAAAAAAAGACGCATCAGTGCCCCACACCAGTGTTCCCGAATAACACCGGTCACAAACTCCCAAGCCCCACCGCTCTTCTCGACACCGACACGACATACGACAACAAACTGCATCAAAACGCCCCAAAAGTGAAGGCGTCTGCTCCCGTACTGCAACTGCTGCAACTAGCGGAAGTGAAGTGTTGGGCGGATGTCCGGATGTCCTTCACAAAAATATATTAAAAAAATGCTTTGCGCAAGGATAATTTTCATTTATTATTGTATACGTAATGACAAAATCCCAATAATTTTTTTCCTATCTGATTCAAGCTAGTCGGACTGCTCATAACACTGGTCAAGCAAGAAAATAACAAAAATTTGAACTTTTTCATGACCGGTTTAAGATTTATTGTTAACATATTGTTATTTATTGCAACGGACTAACATTATAGATTTTGCCTCCATACTTTTTAAATGCAAACAGTTCTAACACACGGCTGTCCATTGCGCCGTGTTTTGTGTATTCTTCTATAAATCTGTAATGGTAAGCGACCAAAGAGCTCACCCGCACATGTCAAGCTTATATGCGCCGCGGGGAGAAATGGATATCGAGCAGCAAGTGTCGGGCGTAGTGTCGGTTGGTGTGTTGTGTACATGTCGGTGCTGTGTTGCCTGCGTTGTATGTAGGGTTGCTGTATAGTCGTGGTCGTTCGCAATGTTAACGGATGTCTTTTTTTTTTTAAACAGGCTGCTAGAAATCTCGATAGGTGGCGCAAGTTACCGCCCGATTCTAAATAGTTTGCTCAAGTTATTTATCCATGTGAGTTCGGCATTCGTTTTTTTTTCTTTTTTGTCTAGCGGCTCGTTGAAGCTACCGACGCCGCCGACCGCCGACAACGCACGTACGTACCTTTGCAAGTAGCTACGTCCGCCTCTTGGAGACTTTACTGTGTATAAAAGACATCGAACGAGAACTAACGCACCCTGTGTGCTTTCAATTCGGCTGAAGGGCGCGCGGCTTGCTGGGCTCGTCTCTCGCCTGTTCTCGGCCGCTGGCCGCCATGTTTCATAAGGAACACGCGCGAAACGGTTTTGCGGAAGGCAGACGCAGTGTAGCGTGTTAAGTTTACACAGCGTTTCATACTGCATAACTATCATCGCACATCTAGCGTAACAGCAATGAAAACTACCCTAAACTTGTCTGACCGCTCCCTACGTAGAAAAATATCTCGTCT